AAAGTAGCCTCAGGCAGAGTCTTATCTCTAGCTGTCGGTTTCAAAGATACTTCCACAAACGAGTGTTTTTAACAAGTTAATTTGTTCTTGGATTCATATACAGGTTTCATTCAGTCAATAGAAAATCAATCAATAAGGAGAATATTGCTCACTGTGGACCCCCGCCCTGAACCTTCAATTATAGGTATATTCATATTTATGTAATTCATCCTCTTCTGGCTCTTTCTGTCAAAGAGGTAAACTTAATGGTTCTTTCTTCTTTCAATCTCTCTCTCTCTCTTTTTCTCCCTCTCTCTTTCTCACACACACACGCGCGCACGCACGCACGCACACACACACACACACACGCGCGGCCTTACTTTCAATTTGACCTTTAGCAACTATGAAATACAACGGTAAAAAACTGCCCCTTTTGCCGTTTTCCCCTTTCCATGTATACTGATACGTTTAACGAGTTCCTTGAAGATCAAATAGCTGAAATGATTGGCAGGTAATTTGTAATGGTCAAGATGGACACAGAGGTTAATAGCTCGTGGTCGGAAAGGACCCCTGGTCAGTTTCACCATGATGGGTAATAAATAGATACAAACATGTTGTGATTAGTGTTAAGAGCCGTGACTTGTGTCGTACAACTTGCGGGTATTTAATTTTACTTAGGAATTGGTACAACAATGGATCTTTGTTCTTCGTTTGACTCGTCATTTTGGTATCCATTTAACAGCTGTGAAGTTCACAAAAAAGATGCACGTATGGACAAATAGCATGGCCTTGTCTCGGGGAGGGGGGGGGGCTTTCGATTTAACAGGATGTGCGTGTCTGTTTTATCATTGTTGCTCACATAAAGTTCAATAGATAAAAATATACACAAAACCTCTATTTTATACAGACACCTTGCGCTACCTGTGCAATATGAATTGAGTGTTACTTTCAAATACTCGAACTCATATTAGTGATTTAAATTGTTTGGTCCAACCTCCAGTTATGTTTGATGATGTAGCCAAATCTTCAATTTGCGCCCATTTATGAGATATAATATCAATAGCATATTTTACCAGAAATCTAGGCCTCTAGCTAGTCCAGTGGATAAACGTATCTGACGTAAACCAGATAAAATAGATCATTACGGAAATTCGTCGGAGAAATAAGATCTGTCCGAACTTTTATCGATTTTGACAAAAGTTGAAGTGTGCAACATGTAAATATGTTAAGGGGGGCATTGGCCTCCTAATATTAAGAGATGATCGAAAACTTCTTCATCGTTTGGTGCATCTAACTCGAACCATGAAGAAAACACCTTTTGAGCACGTGAGAATTCGGTCAGATATCCCAGCTTATCGAATTGATAAATTTGATGTTGGCAACATAAACTGTTTTCACTCCAGCGTATATGGTGTTTAAGGTCAGGGAAGTTCAACGGTTTTCAGTGAGATGTTGAAAGGAACGCGGTAAAGGTTTCTCCATACAGAGAAATCTGCTTGTTCCATTCTGTGTCTAAGTTTGGCGCTATTTATAAACAATCGTTCGGTTCAAAGTGTGAAATGATAGGACCAATGTAGGTATCTTACCTATACATTGAGCCAGCTAGACGTTCGCTCTCAGCAACATTTACATTACCCCACTGCCTACAATGTCTGATACTATACGGTAATACAGCAGTTTAGGGCATTAAAACAGTATTTGGTTTTTTACATTGATTAACTGAACAGCGCATCAAATGAATGTTTTGGGTATAAGTAGCTATTTTGATCATCAGTGGCCGAAGTGGAAAATTATAGTACCAAATTATAGTTATTATTACTAGTCCCATGATCCGAATATCAAGCATTCTTGATGACTGGCAGTTATATATGTGAATGTGTAACAAAGTAGATTTTATTCAAAATGATTGCAAAAAATTATTTAAGGAACAGATTGATTAACAATGATTTTTTTTCGCTAACCTTGTTGGGATAATATTATTTTGATGGAGTAGTCTAACAGTAAAGAGGCAATCTAATCTTTCACGAAGGCACCTCATTGCCTGGGCAAGGTCCATTATGATGGCACTTTGCTTTGCTAACGTCTTTGACTTGCTGGCATATTGAGATGGCAATTGATGTCATCACTTGTAATTTAGAAAAATCTTCCTGCTATTAGACGTGGCATTGTGCGGCCATGGTTTCCAGCTTCGATGTTGCTCCGCTGGTTTCCTAGATTTAGAATCAATTTGAGGCTAATTTGCGGAGTTTGAGGTATTCATGGAATATTGAATCGTTCGTAAAGGTTATTTCTGTGCCCTGGTCTGTATTCTGTGAGAATCAATTTGTAGTATCTGGGGTGAAATATTATACACGATGACACGTTTTATAACTTCGGTTTCATTAATTATTTCAATAAAAGTTCTCAGTGTGTCACTGAAAATATAATACGATTTGACATTTGGTCATATCACGCTGTTTGTAAAATATCTATTATGTTTGGAGTCGGGATTGTAAAATTGCCTCCCAGGGTCAAGGTCAAGGTCAAGATCGAGAATCATCCAAGTAACCACTCCTTTTCGTTTGTAGATCATATCTTAACACTGATTGCATAGTTCAACCGTGCTGAAGTCCCACGTGTAGCTATAACATCATTTCGAGTATAAAAAACAGCATATAATGGCACTTCAAGCTACCGTGATTTTAATAACATCAATACATTTCCACTGAACTGAATAAAGGTGCCTAGTCTGGTGGCCTGAACAAGTATGAATATTCAGATCTGTAGGTGTTTGTGCATGACAAAACGACACGAATTTCATCAACCGAACAAAGGCAGTCATGTCTTCATGCCTGACGGTGTTTGTGGAGCATGCCATGGAAAATCACCAACTCCTCAAACTGCTTACAATTGCCTTGCCTTCTTTACATATTATCTGCTATATTGAGCGTGACATGGAAGACGTCCCCCTCCAAATGCTATATAACTGAGTGTTACATTGGATTATTATTATTATTATTATTATTATTATTATTATTATTATTATTATTGTTGTTGTTGTTGTGAAAGCTGGTCTCTTTATTCCAATTCAAGTGGAGCGTCATGTTTTGGAGTGAAGTATAAACCAAAACGATGTTTAGGTCTTCGGTGATTCGCGTCTGTATGCGTTTTTAAACCCATAAGTACAATGTATCGTGGTGGTGTAAGGTTCTATTAAGGAATCTGTCGTTATCTAGAACGAACGCCCGCATTACCTTAATGGCCCATTAGTGTACATGTACTCCTTAACGACAAATTGACTCGGTTTAAAAGGCTGCACACTGGCAAACTATGGGGCCTATTGGATATGCCAATTATTCGACATGTACTTGAATATTGGATAATATAATGCAGGATAACGGCTGATTTAGCATTCAGTTCATATATATATATATATATGTATGTACCGTCTGTCTTTTATTCTTAACTAATGTTAGGTTTGTACATGTAAAGTAATTTTTTTTACAAATTAATTTTTTTTTCATTGTGAAGGTGCTTTTTCTCTTCCATTGGTAGTTGTTATGGTTACGAACTATTGTTTAAAGCCGACTTTGTAATTCTACACTTTGTTAGACTATTTGAGATGAAAAATATTGTAAATGTTATTAGAAGCGCTTCTAAGTATCGTTATACTTGATGGTATAATGATGGGATGGTTTTTAGTTTGATCGAAACTAATCGTTTTTGGTCATTTCACAAATCGACTTTTTCGCAACTCTTCACTTTTATACGACAATTAATTTGGGCTACTTGGCTATTCCTGTGCTAATCCGTTCAAGAGAGTTCAGTTGTTGTAAATTCTTTTTTATCATGATATACAAATAGTTAGAAATCAAACAACAGTAACGGGAGTATAGCTGTTAATGGGAGTACATTGGTTCAGTTTATAGATCATTATAAATGGACATAATTTTGCATCAAATTATAATAAAGAGTAAAAGCACGGGGCGGGAGGAGGGGTGAGGGGGGGGGGAGTAAAGGTTTAAGACACAATACGCCAGGGCCAAACAAATAAGTGTGTACTGTGGCAGATCAACCTAAAATATAGCAACGTCAATTTAAACATTTACTGGTGTCTTAATGTTATCAAATCAGAACTTAAACCTTACTTTAGCCGACCAATTAGCTGACTACAGGGGGCTGTAGCGTGGAGCCATTTCTATGCATGAGTGCGTTATTTACGGAGATTAACTTGCGTCGGTTTAATTGGTGCCTCGGAGTTGAGACAAATTATTCATATCTCTGCCAGTGGTCAGTGGTCTGTAATAGGAGCATATTTTGTACTGGGGGTTTGAGGAAGCAACTTGAACTAATCTCATAACTCGATGTTTGTCCTGGCGAACAGAAAAGTAAATAATGAAACCATCTTGCCCGAAGATAGAAACCATCGTTACTTTTGCTTTAAATCTGCAGTCGTTGTAGCCCTGAAGCTTTTGAGTTGGGCGTGGTATGTAGTCTAAGGAAATAAGGTTGCACGCCAGACTTGTGTTTTAGGCTTTACACCTTATGATGCATTGCAGTATACATGGTCGTTGAATCTGAAACACACACTTAATTTGGGATTTTTATAGTTGCTGAAAGTAGTGTTTCCAACCTTGTTGAAATGACAGTACTTAAGTCAAGTAGTAGTTGATCCATCAAATCATCACCTATAGATTTGTTTTTTTTTCTAATATATACATATTTTAAAGAAAATATATTCTAAAAAAGGCAAGGCCGATTGTTGTACGGCACCACATTGACTCGACACTCAGTGAAGTATTGACTGATATGAAACTTATACATGTTGTAATTGATTTTTTTCTAAATATTCCTACCAGTGGTGTATTAAGTTAATCCACAACGCCCCTCCCCCCCTCCTTGGATTGTAAACAACATGCACTGCGGAGAAATATTCAAACCAAAATAATAATAATAATAATAATAATAATAATAATAATGTTGTAAGAATAATATCTTCTTACTTGGTGAAATGATCACACGTATCTTTGTGTCTTTTTTAGGAACATGTTGCTACCAGGCTGCTAACCATAGTTGCAGACGACAATAAACAGACGACACTTGCCTCGAGCTCCTTGTGCCAAGACAAGCTTTATAATGGATTGTAGACCGTGCATCTTAATAAGCCTTTCCGTCCTCTTTTGTCTTGGATTAACTTGTGAGTATATTTTATTTAATTTATTTCATGTACAATACCTGATGGTGCATCATTTATATACTTACTAAGGGTGTATTCCCAGAGATTTAGATCGATCCAGAGATTAAGATTTAGATGGACCTAACTCCCTGGGGATTCACGCTAAATTGCAGTTAGCCGAGCGTGCACCATAGTAAATTACCCTCTTACAGCTTTTAGTAGGCGGGACAGACGCTTAAGCCGGCTAAGCTGACAGTAACCTAATGAGACTCCCAACAGGGATAGATCGATCTAAAATATATGGAAATGGGGTCTAAGTTTATTTACTTAATTTATAAACTTAATTTATGTCATTATGATTACTAGGGAGATTCACACGATTCACGCGTTTTTTAATGTCAAACAAATTGATATTGAGATGTTGCGTAATAAAAACGTGCCAAGATCTGAAATCATACATCTTTATTTAGACAATAATTAATTTTGTTCATAATAGCGGCATTCTAAAGAATGATACCAAAACCTACTGTTCAGTCTAAATGTACATGGGAAGCAACAAAAAAGGCCACAACTTACAGAAGCATTTCAGCAAGGGAACAAGAAAATAGAATTAGATATTGAACAGCGTAAAGGGCGTTTAAAATAAGAAAACAAAAACAAAAAAATATCACCACTAAATCTATTTAAGTAGGATTAAAATCAAACAGTGTACTGAAGTTGGTGAACGGGTTGGTTCCTGTCTTAATGACTGATAATATCTCGAGAAAGGCAGAAATGCTCTCTTAGTCACTGTTTCATGATATGCGGGGCAACTATTAAGACGACCCCACTTGTCGAAAACAGCGTTTGAGAAGCGTTCTTCCATCTGTCTGTCATCACAGCCCATTCTTCGAATGTCATATCGGTCATCATTTGATTTCCATATTAACAAGATTTAAAGAAGAACGGAGCCCCAAGAAGCCTTTCTTCCAGTCACATGTACATAATCATCACCATTAAACTGTAATGATAAGATAAACTTTGCTTATAAAGATTACGAAATGAGCTGCCTGTTATTATACTTGGGTTTTGAAATTCAAGCAACGGATTATCTTATCAATACAACTACAGTGGCTTTCATTTCGCAATATTTTATGCATCATATTAATTCCACCCCTCTCTAGTCACAGTGGCATCATTTTGAAAGCTAACATGTATATGAGATTATCGCGTCAGCCATTTTAGCTCATATTCGACTATCGTCTGCTTAGTTAGTCCCCTTGGAGGATCGGAAGGACTCTGATTGCCTAAGTATAAGTTTGAGATATACGAAAGTCTTGACTAATTTTGGAATCGATTTGTCCTTTACCTTCTGATCTTTTTGTTCAGAACGCTGTATTGATCTGCTAGCGGACGTACTGCTTGGTTAAAATTCCTCATCTTCAGATCTGACATTAACGAATCAATTTCACCTATTTGAAAAATAAAATTATTTACTTGATGACGCTGGTTATCTGACTATTTTACCTATTATTAAAAAGTCATGTCTTCATTTTAGAAACTGATGCCCTATATTTGTATAAATGAGCTTTATTAATTAGGTTTGCTTTTGTTTTTCATTGTCAAGAGAGACAGAGAGAATGAAAAAGAGAAGAGAGGTTTTTCTTTAATTGTTTCGGCAAATATAAATATTATTGTTCAGCGCTACTTAAGACAAACGGAATCTTACAGTTATTGCACTAATATCAGTGTTGGTGATTCACGAGTCATCTGTTTCCGTTTGTGTTAATGCGAGGCGAAGGAAATTAACAAGAAAAAGGCAAACATCCGCTTTGTATCTTGTTCCTGCTCTCCTCCCGGCGAACAGAATCTATTTCACTTGACTAGCTCTGGTTATCGGAATTCAATGAAAACCTGTCTAAGCCAGCAGATGACAAGTTGAAGCAAAGGGAAATGTCACCGGGGAGGTGACGTCATACGCAAATCGCCCATCTCGGTTTTCGTACCTTTGCGAGCGTCTCTCTCTCTCCCATCTCTCTCTCTCTGTACTGACGGTGTTTGTTTGTGTATTTCAGCTTTAATTTCTCTGTATTTTTACCGCTTTTGCCTAGCCGTCATTCAGAAACGCCCGTGGATTGTTGCAATGCACTTATTGTAGATTGCAGCTACTAGTTTTAAGTGAAGCAGTCAATTTGGCTTTCTCTTCTTGTGCATTTTACATCTTTTATAAGACATATCCAAATATTTATTAGCGGTGTGGGAGGGTACCTTTTGTAAACATTGTCAACCTCATTGATTGAAAAGCTCTTACTTTGAATAAAATAAAGCCAAGGATAGCACTTTAACAAAGGTTAAAATGTCAGTTAGATACGATTAATGTGAGCGTAGGTTCACCTTCCACCGCCCTGTTCCAAAACCATATTGATATTTACTTGTAAGCGACATCCCGTTGGCAAAGGCGTTGATTCTCTTTGCAATTGAAAACAATTCCACTTTTATCCAAACTTTGGTTTTTATTTATGTAATGGTTATTTAGGAGACCAACTTCAGTTTCCGCGTCTGTCTGCATAGATATATAGATATACTTTACGCAAATACCGTATTCCAACGACACTATGAAAGTTGTTCAATCTACATAATATTCTATATTTCAAATTATGTAATCTATAATTGGACCTACAATGACAGTGTTAAAAGATGCTATTTATCTATCCATACTGAAATCCCAGTTAGATGCTGTACAATGTCAACGATATATACATGTTAGTGGGATGACTGGAAACCTTTAGAAACTGCATGGTGATAGTTTCGCCCACTGTTAATTTTTTGTTACTGAGTGTTGTATCGGAAGGCAATTGAATATCTCTGTCGAATGTGTTTTTTTTTATAATGTATTTGCCAATGTAATAAAAAGATATACTAGTAACGGGAACACATTCAAATGCCTGATGGGACAACTATCTCCCTTCAAAGCTCACACCCTTAGATCAACGTAAACATACTGACGTAAATGCTGAAAACATAATTAGCGGGACTATAGGAAAAAAGGTCAACAGCGGCCTGAAAGATCCCATGGTAAAAATCATAACAGCCAAAGCATAATTGGTGAAATATATTTCTATAAATTACCAAGTCTATTTAAAGTTTGTATGTTAATTTGAATGAAACACATCTGTAAGTTTGTGACGTCACAATTGTGACATCACAATAGGAATATAACCACACATCCCCATCAGGGTTATATACTATACATGTACATCTATTGCTTTTTATGAGCCTTGGTCATAATAAAGCCCGTGCAATATCTTCTAAATGTTTGAATAGTTACATGAACTACATAAGAGGAAATGTCTTTTTACAATAGCAGTCAAAGAGTTATTGAGACGTCACTTTTATTCCTCAACCGCGAGAACAATTGTAAAGCATACTCATTACGATAATGCTATTGGCAGTATTTGTGATTGTATCCGTCCATGTCCCCGGGGGCATGATAGGGAGTGACGCGTACTCAACCTTGAAAACAAAACACCACGTTGAAATGACGGTATTTCGGTTCACATGTGTTAGCACAATATCTCGAAAAAAAGTCTCGGTTTATAATAAGTCTGAAATGGGATTAAGGGTCTACACTCTGTGTTTTGAAGTACAGAATGGACCAAACGCTCCATATGGAGAGTGTATTTTGATTTTACTGTTTCAGCTTTAAGTATTGGGAAAATGAATTCAAAAAACATTTACGGTTAGAGTTACTGCATCATTTTCATTTAATCAAATTAGATGAAGAATAAAATTTCAATGATTCATGTGGTGTATTATGTTGCAGCGGGCCATTTCCATCAATGGCATATGTCTCTTCTGTATATGTAATCATGAGAATCAGTTCTATCAGTTTAGTGATGTGAGAAGGTGACAAATGGTTTGAACAGCATGATGTAATCAAAGTCGTAAGCGGTTCTCATCATATTTCGACGAAACGCTATTACCATTATGGTGATTAAGTTGTTGACGCTGAATTGCATCGCAGAATAAAAAATGGAATATATTTAACTACCCTCTGCTGTTATTTACGTGGTAATTCCACTTACGTATGCACGGCTTTCCCAGGTGAAAAGAACTATGTCTGCCTTATTATCTTGGCAGTATTGTGGGATTTTATGTAAAAATCTCTTTCATGATATTCTTCTTCTTCAGCATGTTTGATGTAAGCTGTTAGTTGTTGCCTCATACAGCCACTGAAGGGCACCTGTTGCTCAACAATGTCAAAATTAACCAGTAGTTTACTGAAGTTCAACTTAATTTTAAACAAAGCAATGTTGTCTTTTTCTCAGGTGTTTTGGTCAAGGCAGATGACCACGAGTATCGCCTTATGCACGATCTTATGAAGAACTATGACAGGAGAGTGCGTCCTTCCAAAAATGCTTCAGAGGCTCTTAACGTGACATTTGGGCTGGCCTTGGCCCAAATCATTGATGTGGTAAGTGCATGTACTGAATCTGCAATATACATATTTTATTTCATTCATATTACATGCCATTCTTTTATTGACCTCTTGACCTCATTCTCTTGACCTTGCAATCGCGTCACTTTTTTACGGCACTTCCTTTTGGCCGACGTTGCAACTCCGACAGTGTTCGAGTGCTATCATCTACAACCCGGTATCTTAGAACGGTTTAGTCGTCATTGTTCTGTTCATTGACAGGATCCCGTGACAGCAAAATGGACAATAGTAAAATACGTAAATGAAATTCCAACACAGGATGTCCTTATACCAGCTACATAAACAAGCATGCAACCTGCTGTGCGTTTTTCTACTTTCCACAATTTACGCTGTGTGTAAGTCACCCATTCGCGGTGGAATTCAGTAAGATATACTCGGCTTATCATTCCTCTCAAAGGAATCTTTGGAAGAATTAGTAATGAAACAGTTCAATGCTCTGGGATTATCCCCGTGTTCTGAATACTGTTCCAATTCTTACTTAAATCTTCTCGTAAAATTTATTGGCCAACCGACACTAAACTATCTAATGCATATAATTGTGTTTAAGGACAACGGCTTTAATTAACAATAAAATCCTAAATTATATCTCAATGAACAGAGTGAACCACGTGTTTTCACAAACTTTTTAATTCGCTTAAAGTCTATACTTATTATGAAGTACACGAGGGTTTATTTTATTCCCGAAAAACGATACCATGTAAATATACATGTAGAGGATATATATTATAGGCATATGGGTAAAATGATGTGCACAACTGATTGGTGAGAAGGACTTAAGGTTGGTGAGGACATTTCTTACTGAATACCTTCTGATAAAGCTGTCCGCGTGGTTACACGAATTCATTCAATTCTGCACGACTGAATTGTCTTCTGATTCCGTAGAAAACCATTACTTACTCGCGGGATCTTTCACTTTTGCACGATTTCAATTTTCCACTTTTGTCACCTTCAGCTTTGGGACAGTGACCTCTTGATCTTTTGAAGGACAGTAGCGCCACTGGAGGGCCCTAGCATCCTTTTAATTTCCTGTCTGTAATGTTTGTACTATCGATGTTTTTCTTACATACAAAGGAGAAAAAATACACGGTCCAGTTTCCCGGCTCTGCACAGTTCACAGTAAAGGTTAAAAGTTTGGAAAAGCTGGAACTACGGTTTATTATGCTTGTTGAGGACCCAAATTAACAAAATGAATGTTACGTTGAAACAAGAATCATTACCAATTACATTATTGGTTGTAAGTATAAAAGTTCTAAGAGTTAGGTTACGTACAGGCCTGGATGAGGATTTTAAGAGTACATGCACTTATGATGATCTTTAGCCTACAGCCGTTCTTATCAAATCCTCTGTCACCAGAATGTGAGGCGTTTTCACGTCTAATGCCTTTCATTTTGATACACCCATCTCCAATTACCAAGAAAAAAAATAAGCACAGAGGGAAAATTGACAAACACATCGCTTTTCACTGAAAGTGAGTATCAGCAATTATATTTGAATCCCTTCTTCCATTCAAAGACCCCCAAAGGAGGAAATGATTCATAACAGTTCAACAGTAACGACTTTGAAAGAAGTGTAGTTGAAATGCACTTTTATGAAAAACTATCTCCTAAGCTGCATAATCCTAGGGGGCGTTAATCAGTCAAGACAGTCCTGGAGTTTTTTTTCCAAATGGCAATTCTATTCCGTGTTAGTTTATTGCATTTCATCTTAACTTATGATTAACAGAATACAAGTTCTTTCAAGAGCCCAATGTAAGAGAATACGATGAAATCCTTGGGTTTAATATTTGATATCCACTGTTTACTTGGAAAATACAAATACAAAGCAGATACCTTATATAATTATTGACATAGGCTAGAAGGCTGGACTAAAGTAATTATTGACATAGGCTAGAAGGCTGGACTAAAGTAAAACACAAGAAAAGAAGGCAAGGGGACGACATGAATCAGTATGACGATTAGATGATTATGATAAAGGTAACCTACATGTACGTCCGAAATGTGTATTATAAAAACCGCAAAGCCGACTAGGGTCATGATGACTAACGTGAAAAAATGCAATGATGTGTCACTGGTTGTGTGTAAGACACGTTCTTATATATAGGAGTGATAAGAATTATAGTAGGCCATAGTCTTAACAAGAAGACAGAATACGCTTCACATTGCCAGGTTCGTAAATAAGGTATTCACTAAAGTGAAGCAAAATTTCAGACATATCTTCTTAATGTCAATGAAACTTGACGAGGGGCAGTGGGAAAGTCCAGATTCTACAAACATTCTACAAAATATCTTTACAAATTCCTCTCATATTCATGTTTTCTTGCCATTTGCCTTGAATGCGCTTTACACACGCTGTATTCATAGTTTCTCTGAACCCCTTAGAACCAGCTTGTTTTATTTACCATATTTAGACACCTGACGATTAATTCAATAAATGAAGCAGTTTGATGTGACTGGAAGACACATCGATATAACAGGTGAAACAAAACCAAGAAAACAATTTTTTTCAACGATAAACGGAACCATTTGCAATTTGACTGGTTGACTTTAGCGCCATACCATGCAGTTAGTAAACAGCTTTTGAAAAGTACAACCGTAGAGTGAATATGCCGACCGTTTAGATAAAAATTTTCTGATTATTGCTTTTTTAATTGACGAAATGGCAATCAAATTAACAAATAGGCCCCAGACTAACCGCATCATTGCTGACCATTCTGTTACCAGTCATCCATATACTGGATTTATCAGGTCTTGCTGCACCGGGATGGAGAATTTGTTTGGGTGGCATTTTAGACCCCGTTCCCATAGATTTTAGATCGATCTATCCCTGTGAGGAGTCTCACTAGATTACTGTCAGCTTAACCGACTTTAGCGTCTGTCCCGCCTACTAAAAGCTGTAAGGGGGTAAATTAACTATGGTGCGGCGCTCGGCTGACTGCAATTTAGCGTGAACCCCCAGGGAGTTAGGTCGATCTCAATCAAAATCTCTGGATCGATCTAAATCTCTGGGAATGCACCCTTAGAGCACGCATAACGATGCTGACTTCAGGACAATAAGGTTACCTTTTGTCCTGCCGCCTCTTATGCCGTATGATAAACCAGAAAAGACAACAATTGCTTTTGATGGATTGCAGAGAGTGACAGAGATTTCTGCTATAATGTTATAACATTCACGTTACCAGATGTTTGCAATATAATATCTACACCGACGACTTTATAAACGTTTAAAAAGATTTGAGTAGGACTGTAATATCAATACATTCCTGACAATGAGCAATAGATGCGAAATAAAAAAATAGATTTCATAACTGTATAAATATTCCAGGGATGATTTAATGCGACTTCGATAAATTGTGAATTATATTCATTGTTGAAGACAAAGTGCACACGGTGACGGCTTGCTTCAAATGAATATCAAAGTGCTTACTATTTTCCACGAATAAACATGCTCATGTTTTATTTACCAATATATGTCATTTACTAACACACTAGTTTCAAAATCAACATAAAAGTCATTCCCAAAGCACTATGGTCCCGTGAGGACAAGAAATATGTTTCTGAATGGTTTTATCCAGTTGACTGCAAAAAAAAAAAAAAAAAAAAAAAAAATGTCGGTTAAACACGGCACATATCTGCTTCGTTACTTTAAACAGCTGTTGAACCCAGCCAGCCTGAACGCTTAATCGAGGAGAAAACAGGAATCATCCAACGACATTAATATCTTATGGTGCCAATGGTTGTTAAATCTGTTACCGAAAAACCAAAGATTAAAGGCTATGAAAACTCTTAACGCCACATTTACATTATACACCGTATCGATCTCCACATTTTTAAAAATTTCTAGTAAAGTTTATATAAGTAACACTCCACCCATGGTGTTACGGCGAAAATATTACATCAAAGAAACAGGTTGGTAGTAATCAATTTGTACCATTACGTCAAAGTGGCGAGTCATTAAGATAGATCTTCCCAAACCCCGGATAAAAGCTACTCACTTTAGGAAAGTGGATGGGGCAATTTGTAGATCACTGAGGTATTTACGGCAATGGTTTCTGTTACTGCGTTTCTAACTTAAAAAGAAGAATCAGTTACATTTTTATGCACGCTTCAAGAGCTCTAAACCAGATGATGGGTAGATCAGGATCCCCACAGAACGTGAGGTGTTTGACTTTTCTAAGTGGTGGAATTTACATTCCACAAACACTTGGATAAATCTTAGAACACACTTAAATGATATATATATATATATATATATATATATATATATATATATATATATATATATATATATATATATATACCTAATGTTACAATTAACGGCGCAATTTGACTTTTAGGACGCTTCGTTTGTTTCTTTCAACTCAATTATTTTTGCTTCTGGTTTTGCTTAGACCTTATTCCTCTCCGCCTTATCTGATCTATCAAAAACTGTTTTTGCTGGACTGAAGTCTAAATGTCTCTTTATTACGACTTAGTTATCTCTCCTTACAAGTGAATCTGGTGCCTGTCTGTGCATCGTGTGCGATCTGGACCAGGTTTTTTTGAAAAGGTCGTACTATTTTAGGTCTTCGATTAAGATGCTTGCATTGGATAACGGAATATAAAAAGTCGTCTTTTATTGGTCTGATTCCGAAAACAAAAAAAAAAAAAAGATTATTGAACATAAGAACCTGAACACATACAGCTGACTAATCTTAACCGGCAATTGCCACCAATGAGATACATAGTATTTGTTATGAAGACCCTGTTTTTCTCCGGTCATAGTGAAACGATGGAAAGGGGGGTTTAGTCTTTAATATATTTTATGAAATATTAGTCGGCTTCAATTCTCAATACCCCTTGGCTATAGACCAATTTTCTGCTTTTGCCGTTTTGTGAATTAAGTCCAGCATACACAGAACTTTATTTTAACGTTACCTGAACGTTATGGTAACGTTATAATCACAGTATACAGGTTATAACACTGATGCATCTATGAAT